TTATCTGCATTGAAATTTTGTATGTCTAAAATCCCAAACCTGACTCTCTCAAACTTCCCTTCTAAAGTGAAATTTATCGAACAGCATATAAGAGATGAATTATTTAACATGACACCACTTTCTTATAATTCAATTGCAAAATACCCATGAAAGGGAACATAATTATAAGTTAGAATAGTTGATGTTTTCAATGCAGTTTTATAAATAGGTGAAATGTTAAACAGTCGATATTTAGGTGTGATTAGATAAATTTTTCTATTTTGAAAGATTTAAAAATTTAAAAAAAAAATTCCACCAAAAATAGTCCAAAATTCCATATATTTTTAAAAGTACCACTAGAATAATAAAATATCTCTTTACTGATCAAGAAAGAAACAAGGAACCTCCATTGAAGCCTTTATGCGATAGATTTGCGAATTAACAGACCTGAATGAATTAAAAAAGCAGTTTTCATTTATGAACTACTTGCTTCTTTTTTTTCTTTTCTTATTTCTTCTTAGTTGGAGAAAACTACTGCTCTTAAGAAATGAGATTAATAAAAATGTAGGAGGGTTTGTAAGCCAACGATCAAAATCAAACACGTTTAAAAACTATAGAGGCTACTGTGGATATTTAATGCAATAAAAAGGGATATCCTAGGCATTTCAATTAAGCTGTTAGAAGAACCGGGCAAAGGGAAAAGAGAGCAAGATTCAAAGGTCTTTTCATTTAAAAGTAAAGCAAAAGTCCCCATGTCAAATATTCTTTGTATCATTTACAAGCAAGCCATACATAATAATAAACTAAGTTTGATGACTGAACAAAAATAAAAAAGAAACAAAAGAGTAAAGACAAACCTGGTTTTTATGGTCTTGGTTTCACATTATAGTTCTACTTTATTGCAAACAAAGTGCTCAAATCTGAGGAAAAAGGCCTCCACCATCCTGCAATAACAAATAACTATCAAATCTCACCTGTTTTTAGTCATGTGGCATGTTGTTCTATTGCCGGAATCCAAGATAACTCCGGCTAAACCTCCCAACATATCCTCCAATGACACAAAATTACAGTGAATAATAATACAGGTATGGTTATAAGTCTTACCTTCTCTTTTGTTGTGGAGGAGAAAAGAGAAAGGGAGGATTCATTGATATTGTTGCAAGACTTGGCCAGATTTTCTTGAAGGTTGGGGGGAATGAAGCCTGGTCCGAAATCCTTTCGATAGATGGATATAATCGCAAAATGGTTTCGAACCAGACAACATTCCCCTCAACCCCAAGCCCATGTACATTGAAACCCATCGAAGGACTCAGGCGTTCTCTTCCCTTGAGCCGAACTTCACCCTTCCAAGCACTGATGCTGCTTTTGTTTGGCATGGAAGAAGGTTGGAGTCCACTTGAGGTTGCATAGATTCTTTTGTGGGTCACATGACATGGAGTCCACTTTCCACACCACCTCAACAATGCTTTTCACGCTTTGGCTAACACTTGCATGGATGATTTGGTTTGGAAAGATGAATGGAAACCAATGGCTTTAAATAGGGATAGATATTGAAGAAACTTGGTCAAGAAAACATGTACTTTTTGCATGGAATATTTGGTTTGATGAAATAGATGTAAGGTAGCTATTTTGAGGTCAACTATGGTTTCTTATAGCCTACAAATGTGCTTCCAAAACACAGCCTTAACAAACAAATTTCATTGTGGGTCTAAATTGGTTTTCAGGAAACTATTCCAATACCACAGTTTGAAGTATTGGTTTTCTCTTTTATGTTCCCCACTAAAGGAAAAGAAGAGGAGCATAGAGGAGGGAATGGAACATAAGTTGAAATCTCGCCACTTCCGCGATTCGAACCTTGAACATCAAGCAAACCAACATGCTTTTGTGATAAAATTCTTCATATAGAGAAAGGGAAAAAGGAGATCAGAAAGTGCAAAAGGAGGGGGCATAAGTTTGATTCTTTACCCAAGTATATTTTGCCATGGTCAAAAGTAAATTCTTAAAAATTTTGATTTCATCTACTCCGGGGCTCGGCATGAAACATTTGGCTTTCATATCAAACTGCTCAAATTTGGATTCTAATTTTGAATAGCAGTGTGAATTCTTGAAACAGCTTTTAAAACCAAAAGTCAGCTGTTACATATCTTGATGGCATCAATTAGGGTCCTACAACCTACTCTTGACAAATTTTTAAAACCAAAGTCAAGGGATAATTGCAAAATTGATAAAAACAGTTTGTCTTAGAAGCTTGACACAAGATATCAAAGGATTTGTCGCTATCACTAAAAAAGATACGTAACACTATTAAAAGTTTATAGTTTATACAAACAACCGCCTCAGATGATAACAATTGGAAACTTAAGAGAACCAAATTGTCCTGTCTGAATTAAATAAGAAATCGATTAGAATAATTAAAAATAACAAAAATATGTTATAAAACCATTTAAGTTTTTGATTACAAAATTCGAAATTCATGAGTAACTTTGGCCTTTTTTGTTGAGTTTTAATTCTCTTAAAACCATCAGAATTAGCAAATTGCATCAGGGCAGTTCCTTTGAGGAAATAGTCTTGAGTATGGGTCCCTATTGAAATAATTCGATTGGGACAAAAGGTCAATTTAGAAGTAGCATATGAGACCTTAGAGTACTTGTTCTTTCAACATTTTCTTCTATTTTAAAAACATATTTCAAAATCATCATTAAGGAAGGTGAGGAATTTCAACTATCTAAAAAGTTACCTTGTTTGAGAAATGTTTATAATTCAACAAGTCACGAATTGCTTTCACAAATTGTGGGCTATTCCCCTTACAATAACCAATCATAATATATTAAGTTCAAAAAGGGTGGTGGTGTTTACTTTCAAATGCAATCAAAGGGATTCAATCATGATATTGGAATAAGTCCCTCTATTTATGATAAGTTACTCTATGGTTGGTATTTAAAAGTCAATGCAACTCGTTTTCTTTTTCTTAAACGTTAGCAGATGGTTTTCCCATGGCCATTCCTAAGTCGGTCATATGCCTTCCCCAAGCCCGAAGAAACAAGAAAAGTTTTTTTAAATGGACAGCCAACATAAAACTTTATCAAATCTTTTCATTTTCTTGCAGATTGAATTAAAAATTAATGTTTAGGAACATCTTTAAAACTAATCAAGTGTACTTGGGCCCTACAAAATTTAAAGCCCGTCGATTTCTACAAAACTTCGAGCATAGTGAGAGACAGTGAGCTTTTATTTGCCCCCTTGTTTGCCAAAGTATCAGACTCAGCATATGTTTCTCTATTTAGAGAAGTGTTGGACATTGGCCTGTGGGATGTAGTCGTGGAGAGAATGTCATGTACTTCATTAACGACTTAATAAAGCAAATGCGACTCTCTCTCTCTCGAATTCTTTCTTTCGTGACTTTATGGTGTGTGTGTAGCGCCAATGTTCTAAACAATCAAAGTAAAACGCACATGCAAATAGCATAGAGAAATGTGGTTTCAATATTGAAAATCTTTGCGATAGCCTTAGAATATATTTTCATCTTTAATTAGAAAATTTAAAGCTTCAAAAAAATAGTGTAGATCGAGCAGAACTATGAAAACTTGAAAATCTTGAAAATTGAAGGCCCAAAAATGCGTTACAAGATGCATTGTTTTCGAAACTTGAAATCAATTTTTTTCTCATTTACATGCATCTTGATGCTGAACCGATCAATTTGAAAATATTTAAGCATCAAATCAACCTCGAAATTTTTGAAGTGGGCTCTAATTTGATTGTTTAGAGCTTCGGCTAGTAGGTTCCATATAAACTTTCTCCTTAACTTTGTCCTTGCTTTTGTCCATAGCTTTTTTTCTTTTTTTTTTATTTAAAGTTTAGAACCTTTAAACGACATAGAAATTGGACCAGATAGGCCGGTCCAGGTAGTAGAACCGCCAGCCTGATTTTTGCAAGAATTGGTTTAAAACAAAAACTAGATTTGATAAAAAATGGCTTATAATCAATGTTTGATGGGTCAAACTAGCTGGATTTAATCGGTTGGACTAGCCAAAAAAATTTGGCCAATATTCATATTTTAAAAAGTGAAAATTATCAAATACTCATGTGAGATGACTTATTTAACATTCTACCAATATTGTTCGATTCAATCTAAAAATGGCCATCAAAAGATATGATATGAGTTGCAATAGTTCCAAAAGTGTAAAATGCAGTGCTAAGTAATACATCTCTTGTAGGTATCTTGATAAATTTTTATTTTAAAGATCCAGTTCAACTGATTTGATAGACCTAAATTCCTCGCCAGATTTGTCGCGGTCCGATTGGGATAACAGGGTTTTAAACCCTAATCCTCTAAAGTAAGAAGGAATGAAACTATAAAATAACTTTAGGGCGAACGCCTGTGTAAATATTTGCTGCTGAGAACTTACACAAGAAACATAAAAGAAAAACTTAAATGAAAAAAGTTTATATAAAGATGCAACTTTATTATATAGAATTACGGATGCCCCTAAAAAATCCATCGAAAAAGGTAGTTTTAATGTTGAAAAACCCTTTGATTGATCATCTTGACATCGAAATGCATGACTATAAAAAATAAAAAGATTTTAAATCCTATAAATTTACATTTTACAACATATTATCTACACTTTCTATTTTCAAGATTTTCGTAAGTTTATAGATCTACTTGATTTTAAATATTTAAAAATTTTATAATTAGATATAAAAATAAAATTTGAGATAATCCTAAAAACATTTTACATCAAAATTATATAGCATGATAAAATTTGAAGGGCCTTACCTCTACGCCTACGGAGGCGTCCGTATGCCAACCAACCGCACCCTTGATCGCTAAAATCTACGAGTTCTTTGATACGTCTTCCCCCAAATAGAGATATTGACGGTTTTGTCCTCCCAACGGAAAGCCCGCTAATAGAGAAAATGGGGGCGTTCTCGGAAAAGACGTCGACACCAAAATAGAGCGGCATAAACCCTACTCCATGGCAAGCCAGAAATCTAGCGAGAGAGAGAGAGAGAGAGAGAGAGAGAGAGAGAGAGAGAGAGGGGTAGGCACAATGGCGCCACTGGTTTCTTTTAGGGTTTCTAGTTATTCAAGAAAGAGAAATTGATAGATATAGAGAGAAACAGACCGGCTAGAATCATTGTTTTTCAGTTATACAAAACCTTTTAGCATATTGATGTCGATCAGCTGTAGATGAGATTGTCAATGGTTCCCCTTGTTTTTTCTAGGTTTTTCTACACTGCTGCAAACTCTCCATAGAAACCCCAACAAGTAGAAGAAGAAATGAAAGCCAAATTGATGGTGTCTAGAACTTTTCCTTTTCGTGTTTTAAGAGCCAGAGCTTCACCCCAAACTGGTAAACCATCCTCTTCTCTCTTGCTAAAACAACACATACTCACTGTCTCTGATTCTCACTCTAACCCAACACCTGAAAAGGCCCATTTAGAATCTCTGGTCTGGCAGTACTGCAAATCAAAGACCACTAAGCTCGCTGGGTTATTGGGGTTTTTCGAACGTATGGTTTATCAAAGTCCCGTACCTTCCATTTTGACATTTAATCTCGTTTTAGCCTCCATTGCAAGAATTAAACAGCACTCAATTGCTCTTTCTCTGTATAGAAAGATGAATGAAAAGGAAATTAAACCTGATTTTTATACTCTGAACATTCTGGTTAATTGCTATAGCAATATCGGGGAGGTGGGTTATGGATTTGCAATATTGGCTGAGATTTTGAAGATGGGTTACACTCCAAATCCAGTGACCTTCACTGCCATTCTCAATGGTCTTTGTATAAAGGAGAGAATAACTCAGGCAATGGAGTTTTTTGCGGACATGGTGAAAGTGGGGTACCAACCAAATATGATCACTTATGGCACTCTCATTAGGGGCCTATGTAGAACTGGTAATATCAATTCGGCTATGGATTTGCATAAGGAAATGACCATGAAAGGTCATTGCTTTCCAAACACTGTAACATACAGTACAATTATCCATAGTTTATGCAAGAAGGGGTTAATTAATGAAGCTCTGCAACTCTACGAAGAGATGGTTGTTAAGAATATTATCCTGGATGTTGTTACGTATAGCTCTTTGATTCATGGCCTTTGCAACTCAAACCAGTGGAAAGAAGCCATGGAGCTTTTTAATTCAATGGTTGGGCAAGGAATTCAGCCTAATGTAGTAACCTTTAGTGCCTTAGTGGGTGCACTCTGCAAAGAAGGGAGAACGGAAGAAGCCTCTTCACTATTGGACCTGATGATCAAAAGGGTTGTGGAACCTGATACTATGACCTATAATACTGTAATGGATGGGTTGTGTATGGTGGGAAAGATGGATGATGCAGTAAAGCTATTCAAGTCTATGGTGGAATGGGGTTATGAGCATGATGCCATTAGTTACAATGTGTTGATTAATGGTTTTTGCAAGTGTTCTAAGGTTGATGAGGCCATTAAAACCTTTGGGGGGATGGTATATAAGGGGATTAAGCCAACCATTGTTACATATAACACTCTTATACAGGGACTTTGCCAAGATGGGAGAGTTGGGGAGGCAGAAAAACTATTCAATTCTATGCGACATCAAGGCCATCCTCCAGAGCTATTGACATACACCATAATGATTGATGGATTGTGTATGGAAAATCGACTTGATGATGCTATGGAGTTATTTGAAATTGTTGAAGGTCGAGGCCATAAGCTTCATGTGAAGATGTTTAATACCATATTGAGTGGATTTTGCAAAGCTGGGAAATTCCAAAATGTAATGAAATTATTCAGTGAAATGTCCATGAAAGGTTTGGTTCCTAATGTGGTAACTTATAGTATAATAGTGAATTGCCATTGTAAAGAGAGGCGGCTGGAAGAGGCGAGCAATTTGTTCTCGAAAATGGAAGAAAATGGATGCCTCCCAAATGTTGTTACTTTCAATACAATGATGCGGGCTCTTTGTGAAATAAACGAGGGCGAGAAGGCATTAGAACTTCTTCATAAAATGGCTGAGAGAAATGTCTTGCCTGATGCGTCAACTGCTTCTATCTTGGTGGATTTGATATCCGAAAATGACCATTGTGGCAACTTTGTAAAATTGCTTCCTAGGTTCTCCCCTAAGAGCCAAGAAGGTGATAGGTTGAATGTCGAATCCATAATTGCCTGCTTTTCAGGTCCCTTTATGTGCAGTGCAAATATTCATAAATTGCAGTGTTCTGATACCAGAGTTGTATCATAATATAAACTTTGGTGTTTTGCATGTGTTTGTATAACATTAGTTTTGATGCCCCCAAAAGATCCCACTCTATTGTGATGGTTATTATAAAAGAATCTGGTTTTTGGCGCTCTTTCATTTTCTTTTTCTTTTTTTAAAAAAAGCTACATGAGAACCATATGAACCACATCAACATTGGCACATAGATCGGAACCTCCGATCACCAGATGCTGAACAGTGCAGATCTTTATTGTTGAAACAACATCACCATAAGTATTTACCTGTCAAGAAAGCACCATAAGATCATTTGGGAATCGCATCAGAATCTCTATTAATTTCTCTGACGAAATTAACTAACCTAGTGATCTGGCTTTGATTGCTAGACCTTGGGATGTGGAGGACTTACTTGTAAGCCTTTGAAAAAAATTGTTTGGTTATACTTTTTTAAACGTAGATGAATGTGCTGTGGATTCAACTTGTAGCTTCTGATAAAAATGTTTATCCATGGTAACCTACTAGTATTTACATTTGGTGCCTCGCTCCCACCTTCAATCAATGATGTATTCATGCTAACTGTTATTTACCTGTATTAGAATTGTATCCAAAACAAGTGTTGAGATATTTGTTGCTAGAAGGGTTAGGATATCTATGGTTGGTATCATATAGTATATTTGAAAACAAGGGAGGTGGGGGGGGGGGGGGGGAGAATTACTCTGAAAAGATGTCTAGTTGTGCCCCTCTGGCTCTGAGAATTGATGCAGTCCACTAGCTACGGCAGTTGATTTTGACCATTAAGTGTCGTTGCGTTCTAGTTATCCTTCTTGATCAATTAAGATATTTCAAGTTCTAATTTTTGTGAACTACCCTTCAAGCTTAATATGGCAAATAGGTTTCTTTCACTCTTTTCCTTCTCTACTTTTGGGTCCCCTTATCACTCATGTTTTGAAAGCCACTAACAAAGAAGGTTCGAGTTTTGCCTTTCTCAGATCAACATGTGTGCCCCTTAAGAATGGATTTATTCTAGAAAGAAATCATGCATTTATTCCAGAAAACTTCAACCACTTAATCCAACTTTCAACCTGGAAAACTAAAGAACAACCTATTTAGTGAGAAAATCGAGACCAAAATAACATAAATATAGGAGGTATAAACGACCCTAAGATGGATATTAATCTAAGATATTAAAGAGAGAGAGGCCACATGAATTCCATGAAAGTTCTTTAAAATAAAAAATCCACAACATTTCTAGAAAAAGGAAAAACTAAATACCGCATGTTGAGCTTACAGCAATTCCATTTGAACAAACCAACTTTGCTTGAAAAACTAATGGAACAACTGAAGCCAGCACGTGAGAAAATGCAAGGGAACAGGGCAATTCAAACCAGATATTAACTACAAGTGACCAAGTAACTAGAAACCCTCTCAGCAACCAAAACCCATGTTCCTCTAATGTACAGCAGGCACCAAATATCTCAACTGAAATGGGGCATACAGCAAACTCTTTTTTGAATGAGTGTGCACACATTATCAGAAAATCAAATTCTGATACCCTGAAAAGTTGCATAGCAAAAATCTTTGGTTCCTAGGAAGATGGGCTCACATAAACCTAATGTTTAGTCAATAACCTTTGCCTCGAAAGAAGTGCTAAGCCCTAATAGCCATAATTGCCACTGTAAACCGATCCATAACCTCCACTCGTAGGATGAACCCCACTTGCTCCAGCATTAGAAGAAGCATTAGGAAACACAGGATTAAGAGCTGGATAACTCTGGTCTGTAGGGGCATGAGGGTTTGTAGGCCCAGAATTAGGAGTAGTATTCGGGAACCATGGTTGGCTCATAGCAGCATAACCCTGATCTGAACCATGAATGTTTGCAGGTGCTGCTGCAGCCTCCGCCATGAAATTCTGCCACCAAAAAAAACAGAAAAGAAAAAGGATAAGCATGTATCTCCTCAATATATGCACACATATAGGGGTGCATTTACACAAACAAATACGCATACACAGACGCATGCATACACAATTGTGAAGATGTATACAGACATACATACATGCTTTAATACATACGAACATGTATGCATACGCATACATGTGTACACATTATACATACATCATAAAAATGAAAATTACCCCCACAGTAATACAAATTATCATTGTGTGTGTGTGTGTTGGGTTTTTTTTTTCCTTTTTTTTTTTTTTGTTTGTTTTTCGGCATTAAGGATAAGCCAACATTACTGCTGTAAACCTTTTAGTTTCAATTTTTTCCCTTGGCAATGTACACAGAATGTGCCCATCCAAAAGTGAATTGCATGGGCTCTTCACATTATGAGAATATATCTGAAAAGAAGAAATAAGAGCATTTAAGAGAGTTTTCATCCCATATCATCTGTGCCATAAACATTAAGAATTCATGTAAGAGAACCAATCACAAGGTTTTTCTGAAAAGTAAAACCAACAAAAGATTGCTCCAGCTTCTTCTCCAACGCAAGTTTTCTTAGAACATTATAACACTAGTCCAACACAGCATATGCGTACAAGTTATTTATTTGAATATGTTTGATCCACGTGCTCTAATATAAATTCCCTCATTATTGCTTCCCTTATCTTTTCTTTTCCACAAACAATTAGGTGCCAAACTCAAGTGTTAAAGTAATTTGTTATTGAAATTTTATGTTCTAAGATACTACAGATGAGTAATGAAGCTAAGCAACTTCAAAATTACACATTAGTTCACAGCACTGAACATGGATGTGATCATTTCTGCCTTCTAATTTACCCACTACATGTCCCTTTCTCAATTGGTTGCCACTAAAGATTTCAAAACGATCAACTAGATCCTAGGCACCCAGATTATAGGGTACTAGATCGATAATTAAAAAGTAACCACGAGTAACTTTTCAGGCACATCAAGGGAAAGAAGCATGCCTGTATCAATTGCTGAGCAGTTTGGACTTGGGTTGCAGATCCATGTATTTCAACAGTCATTTCTCCAGGCACGCCCCTCGTTTCTTGTATAGTGATGGTTGCACCACTAGCTCGACGAATATAGCTAATACTTGCACCAGCTGTCCCAATCACTGCATCAGCATATGACAGTGGGATTTGCATGTGCTGGGTGACCTGCCCAAAGATTATGTAGTCAAATAAGACGAAATACATAGCTACTGGTGACTCTACTACCAATTGAAAGGATTTGTTATGGCCTGTGTGGGTGCATAGAGAGAGAGAGAGTTTCAATCAAAAACAATAAAACTCTAAACCTGTGTGATAATTGCTGGTGCTTGGGCATTCGGTACGGATGTATCCCTTCCATATACAGATAAGCCTGGGTGACGCTGCTTGTCCATAGGAGGAAGATCAGATGGTGGGTAGTAATTATCATGCTGTCTTGGTGGGGGCATGTACTGAGGATTAGCCGAAAACCCAGAACCCCCAGCATTGGGCACTGAATTACTCTGAGGATACCCACCAGCCATGTGGGGCATGTGTTGTTCCATCTGATTATTAGACATTCCAATCTGCATATGAAAAATCAATAAAAAATAGATGAAATGAAATAAGATACATTATTTCCCCTTCCTAATTAATAGTGTGAATTAATAGAATAAGGTAAAACAATACTCACATTCATTTCAAAAAGTGGAAGAACACTACGATCGACTAAGAACTTCCTCAAGTGAGTTGCAATCAACTCTATTGCTTTATGCACACCTGCAGAATCCCCTTGTATCTCAACAACTCTGTCATCAGCTAAAGCACACATTGGAAGGTCTTCTGTGAAAGCAATAAGCACAGATTAGTGAAAAATGTATTTTGCATGTTCAAAGCGTGAAATCATATACTGCTCAGAGACCACAAAGAAAAGTATGTAGGCATAAAACTGTATGACGCATAAAAAGTAATTGTGTTTACCATAGTTCCAGGAAAGCATATCTAAATTTTTAAGCCTGACAATTTGAATAACCAGATTAATTCACAAATAACACAACCAGATATGCCTTTTTGTATGAACCAAATATGATGATTCCTTTTTCTTTAATAGTACCAAAAATGATGGTTTCATCCAAAACAAATAGGTCACTCAAGGGAAAATGAATTTCCCTAAAAAGATTATACATTTACAAACTGCCATCCATATATCTTAGGCTATGTTGCATGAACATGGATACTTGTGGGAGTGTCGAGATACAGGTACATGGCAAAGATTTCTCATGCCATGAAGAACAGGATTCAACAAGAAAGCCAAATTAAGAGAAAACAACAAAATCCAAAATTGCTTACAGATATTCATTTCATGATGAGTAGCTAGAAAAATCAATTATGCCCGATTAAGCTGAATCCATAATGTTTTCAGAGTACGTATGTGTCTCCTCAAAACAAAAAGGAAGATCAGATCTCTAAAATGTAGTCTATGGTTAGTGACCAAGAAGAAGAATCCATAAGAACCTACATTAACATCATCCAACAGGGCTACAGCACCCAAACAGAAGAATCCATGTAACTTAACTCATAGACAAATCAACTTAATGGCCCCATAAAATCTGTATAAACACACCTGCATAAATTACATTTGAACCAAAGAACAAAACATGGTAGAAACCCCAAACGAAACATTGATATCCATGAGAACAGGGACGTGTGTGGCAACATGAAAATTAGAACCACGAACTTGTGAGAAGCAATCGAACACCTTTCACATTAACAAATCCAAAGTGGCAATGAGTACAGTACCATAAACGTAATGGAATCACAACAAAAGGCTATTCCAAATTGACTCACAAGTTTAAATCATTGATACAGAGAAAAAATACACAGAAAATAAAAAATACACAGAAAATTGCCATTTGTACTCTCAGGGGTGAAAGATACACAAGAAACTATTTTAAATCAAACTCATAATTTATCAAAGCATATATGCCCAACTACCTCATAGTTCAATCATGAGAAAAAAAAAAAAAGGAAAAAAAACAATTCACTTCAGTTCCAATATGAAAACCAATAGTTTCTGGTAATAAATTACCTACACAACTAGAAATAAGCAACCCCATTTGACCAAAAACCATAGCAAGTATCAGTGTATCACCTTGGGACAACCCTCCATGCAGAAAGCCACCTATATTATCTAAAATTAGAAAGCATTCTGCACAAGCACCTAAAATCCAAAGACACAACCCCAAGCAAATATTCAAGGGTCCCTTGTTCCCCTAGTCATGAGAAATGAGACCTAGGTTGATGCCTGACATCTAGGCAATCAAAAAGAATGGGATGTCTATTAGGACGCAGTGGATAAATAGCCACTTCGAATGAGCCTCTCTCCTGGTCTGCCCTTCCAAGTTAGTCTGCTTTGATTTTTTCTTTTTCTTTTTTTTTCCCCTTTTTTTTTGGTTTAGGCTGAATCTTTTATACCAGGCCTTAACAGAAGCTATTGCCTCTCAATTGTGTACAATACTACTACTTTTTATATTCAGTTAAATTTCTAATCTTCTTTAACAAGGAACCAAGAACCTGAATCTAGATATAATTTGGTTTCTTTGTGAACCTAGAGCAGTCTGCTACAAGTCATACTGATTTTTATTTTTATTTTGGAGAAATTTGACTATCCTCATTGAATGCACCATTGATTAGAAGTCCGGTGATTTTCAACCTTTTTTTTTTTGGGAAAAAGTTTGCTGATTTTCAAAAACATGGATCCTGTACTATATTTATCACTTTTGTCTTCAGATCTATTTCTGTTTCCATATTCCTTGTTCTTATTTCCCTGTATTTATTCAAAAAATCAAATCTATTAATCAACTCATCGATCCCATCCCCAATTACCTCTCACATCTATCAGAATTGCCAGGCAACCAGATTCTCAGAATCCCACTCCATAGTATTTTATTATTTGTATATAATTCAAGCCATGAGCAATTGCCCAGAACTTTAAAGGTAAAATAAGCATGCCTGAAAATGGTTAAAACCAGCTCATTTGCAACTATAATCCTTCGTGTACGTATATGCCCTCTGGTTGACAAGGGACTTGTCCGGGTTCATTTGATCTAGTCCCTTTGCTAGGTTAATTTAGGGTAAAAACAATATAGGGTACAGACATATCTTCTTTTCTTTTTTAACAGTAAAATCTTTGAAAAGTCTAGAAGTATCCCATGGGTTGACCTAGACCTTGTGACAAACCTAGTTTAGTCTGGGTCTGCTAACTATGATTTAGCACAGGATATGGTCAGTAGCATAGTGTTCTTCATATTGGAAGAGCTTTAAACACCACATCATTTCCTTTAGAAAAAATAAATTTGGAAATTAATTCCATGAGATTGGATGAAGTACAACCATAATATCCAAGGTTTATATTCTTACGGTTTCAATTATGATAAAGATTCTATGCAAACAAACTGGTAGCAAATTTGGAACATATAAATACATTAAGCTCTTTGACAATTAAAGTAGGATTGCTCATGCACTTAGATAGTAAGATACACCATATGACAGTAGGGTCATTCAGGGTGAGGGTTATAAGATGCTTGGGTGGTAGAAACCCAATGGATTGTGTATCATAATCTTGGAGATGTGGCTTTATTCTACCATGATCCAACATTATGTTTGTTTTGGTGATCCAACCGCTGAAGAAGCCATGACCCCTCTTAGTTGATCTCAGACTACTCTTCTGCTTCTACTTTGGAAATACGTATTGTTTGAAATATACTCTTAACTTCATAAGATGGGCCCCAGGAGTTTGTTTACCTTGAAGAATAGCTGGTACCATAACGAGATCAGCCACAATAGCTCAGTGATGAGGATCTCCTTTCTCTACGTCCTTAGAAAAGGTAATGGAGAACCTAATCAGCAGGTGAAATAAGTAAGAAAATATATATTTCTTTACACTCTTTGCCAATTACCCAAGTTTCTTATGTTTAGTACTGCATTGTTTGCATATGACTCTGATTGTCTGTACCGCTGGGTACACGTTGATACATGCATTCTTTCTCAAACGAATAATTAAAAGCTAATCATCAGAAAAGTGACAAGCCAAACATTATTACGGAATTGAGGGTAATGGAGAAACTTAATCAATAGGCCGAAGACATGAGAGAGGTCAATCTGAAACCCTTAAAGTTTGTCCCAGAAAACCAAACGAGCTCACCTGCCTGTTTTTCTAATCAGCAGGCCAAATAAGTGAGAGAAGATTCCTTTTTTCCTTGCCCAAGTTTCTTTTTGTTTATTCCTCTATCATATGTTTAGTTCCAAATCCTTTGCATATGTCTCTAAATGTCGTAGTGCTGTGTACACTTTGATGTATATATTCTTTCCCAAATAATCAATTGAAAGCTCCTTATCATAGAATTGAGGAGCCACAGTCCATTTAGGGGTTCAAAATTTCAAAGAAAAGGAGATCTCAATAACCTTTAGCATAAATCTTTTTCTTAGAGCAAATAATTCCAATTTTCAGGTATCAAATCCCCAATGTATGTTGACATGATTCATACGTCCCAGCAATTAGAACTCATACCCAAGTCTGGAATCCAACCCATACCTGGCGAATGTGGAAGGAGGCCTCCTGGAAGAGTGATTTGCTAAATTATATAATAGAAGTAAAATATTTTGGACACGATGACGAGAACCAAAAGCCTTTCTTTAGGAGGGGTCATTGGAAGGACAAAAAGAGAATTTATCCAATGAACTGGGAGAATGCGCAGACTGATTGACGGGCCTGTGAGGGAGACACATGTACCAATTTAATAGAATTGTAAAAGCAATGAGAGTGTGGATAATGCAACATGTGAAGGCTATTTGCGTAAGGGCAAGTTTGAACTTACTCATTATTACTGATAATTCACTATTTCAATAAAGTTAATCATGATAACGAATTACCTGTTGTCTGGCAGTGTCCATCATAAAGTTATCTGAGATATAGGCAGTTTATCTCAGATATAGGCAGTTTTACATACAAGTTTATCTTTATGAAAAGCTGTTTTTACTTTATTCAAAGTAATTTGCTGGAAACCACATTTTTTTGGCCAGAAATATGTAAAAATAGTTGAAAATCACCAAAAAGTTAATATTATACATAATACAAGATACACACCAAACAGCTAACGAAATAACATTATCCAAAGTATATTAATTCCGGATAAGATAATCTATTCCCAAAAAATTTAATTGTCACCAAATAGGACCTAAGATTGCAGAAGCATCATGTGGACAGATGAGAATTACTATGAAAGTCACAGGAACCGATCGTTGAGTTTGGCCGACAAAAACAAAAAAACAAAACAAAACAAAACAAAAAGGTCCTTGGGTTTATGGTAGGTTTAGTTTTGTAACTGATCATGCAAAGTTGTATCACATGAAATAACTGGTTTGTAATACAATGAGAAGTCATCTTTGATGGGCCATGGGCACATAGTTTGGAGATTTTGCCACCACTAATTTGTTCTTAATGCGAGGATGGGGATGGCAGATGATTGCCTGTAACTTCCTTAATTGGATAAGGGTAGGAGTGATATGAAGTGTCTAAAAGATTATTTGAACATACTTTGAATAGGGAGAAAACAGACTCCAACTGGGAGAAAATTAACTGTTTACAAACCATTTGGTTCCCTTCATTTGTCAGTCTGCTTGGATCATGCCCATCAAGCTTCCTAGAATCTCCAAATTTCAACCCAAAAGTGGCACAATACACATGCCTATGCAGCATTACACATTACAAGATGCCTTGAGGGAAAAAGCAACATGCTATAATGCGGTCCTTCTTTCACTAAATCTTTATGAGCAGTATTAGCATTTTATCTAGAAGCTCATAGGATGACAAAAGCCCCATAAAAGATATACTTGTGACACATAAAAAAGTTCCACAGCTAGAAAACCTACAACTGGACCAAAGAACAGTAACAAATGAACTCAATAAAAGCAAGATCAATAGAAAGTAGAAAGCAGGGGAGCCAACTGCTGGAATATGAGCTGTGTGCTACCATCCATAATGTGTTACGATGAATAGAAATTAGAAAGAAGACGAAACCAACTGCTAGCATGAAAGCTGTTTGCTACCATCCAAAATGTGTTACCTCATCCTTCCACAATAACATTTATAAACCATCATCAGCTATGGAACAAGTTGGACTGTCAACCACAGCCTTGCACTTTTTAAAGAGAAATGCTACTATAGATGCAAATTCCAGCCTTCTAAAGTTCTATATTTTGACATAATAGTCACGTCCATTGCCATAAGAACTTCGATTGTGACTTTCATAAAATAAAATCAAAACATTAATATCTATCTTTTCTAATGGGAAAAAGTTTATATAAGGTGTCAACCTTATATTGTAGAAGTAAGGTGCATCTCAAAAACCTATTGAAAAGGGTTGTTTCGTCACTAGAAAATTCTCCAATTGCTCATCTTGGCCTCGATATATATGGACATGAAAGAAAAAATCTATTTCAAATCCTAAAAATAGTGCAACTTGTAACACATTATCTAGACCGTCCATTTTCAAGATTTTCGAGAGCTCAAAGATCCACTAGATTTGCACTATTTTTGGAGCTTTCAATTTCATTATAGGGGTGAAACTTTTAGGCCATGATAAGAGTTTTGGCACTGAAAATACATCTTTTAATGAGATTTTGATGTGCACCTTACCGTTATTGTTTAAGGTTGACACCTTATACAAACCTCACCCTTTCTAATGTGTCTTGACTCGTATATTCCATTTAAGGGACCATTAGGATTATAGTACACAAAGATAAGCTGCAGAAATGGTGCTACATTTTACAAACAGCAATCATAACCATCATTCACCTCAAAGATGACACACTCCAACCAGAATGAATGTCAAACTCAGTACCTTACACAAACACGTCATCGTGCAAATTCATATAACACAAAAGGTTGAATAAGAGTTATTCAAATAAACAAAGATGCAGGAGATATGATTAATCCTAATACCTGCCCCAAGCACTCGAACAGTACAATTAGAGCCTTCTTGAATAGATTTTATAGTTGTACCCTGCCTCCCAATGAGGCTTCCAGCTTGTGTTGCTGCCACTAAAAGTCGGCTTGAAATCGGAGGGCCACCACGTTGTGGAGCATGACCATACTCCTGATCACCATCAATCACACGCTTGTGAACCCTAAGGAGGGCATCCATGGCAGGTGGCATGGCAGAATCTTGCTCTTCCTTGGCAGAGATCATAACCTTTTTGAAATATTCATAAACAGTTCACAATCAATAAAACAGATGTGGCCATTTGCAAAAAAACAAATAGATCATTTACAAAAAACAAAGGGTGCCTTAACAAGGGATGTATCAGAACTAAAACTTTTGTACGAACACAAAAACTCAATGACAAATACACAGCAAGAAGATGGGCAATAAAATAAGGTTCAAAAATTATAGCTCTACCTCTCAATAATCCAGAAACTTTTTAGAGCAGAATTTATTGATCGATTAATGAAAAAAGATTTGAAAGATGAACCAATAATATAAGAAGACAAGCCGGCTAGCTTAGAAACAGGAACAAGTTCTGAGACGAAGTCTCTTGGGATGATATTCAAGGGACATAAATATGGCGATTCTCTAACTTCCAGAGAGACACTGGCTCACCAAAATACTTTGAACAAAATAGTAGATTTAGTAACAAAATTATAAGGAGAAATGAATTGCTCATTCATGATTCACTTTAAGTGCATAAATCAACTCCAAAGTCGAAGACTCATAATATATTCCATGCATACGCAATACACAGGGGACTTCCTGCTTAGATAGGCATCAAAAACTAGATCTTGTTGTCTGCTCATTTCAGCCATACTTATATCCCTTATATCTCTAGATATTTATGTCAAACTATTTAGTGAAATGGAATGACACCAATGCAATGAAATAGTCGAAATAATACTTTATATATATATATATATATATATATATATAAAAGTTTATACCTAAACAATCAAATTAAGGCATACCTCAAAAATTCACTAGAAGAGGTTTTGTTTCAATGTCGAAAAAACCCTAAATTCAACTGGAGGTGTAAAAAAATGGATTTCAAGTCTGGGAAATAGTGCATCTTGTAATGCATTATTTGGGCCGTCAATTTTCAATAGTTTAAAGTGCTTATAGATCTGCTTGATCTACACTATTTTTTAAGCTTTAAATTTTATAATTAGACATGAAAATAAATTTTAAGGTTATCACAAAGATTTTTATTACTGAAAAATCATTTTCCGACATTATTCAGAGGTATGCCCTACTTTGATTGTTTAGGGCCTCAACCTTATACACCACACCCTATATATATTCAAATAAGAGTAGGCAAGGTATCAACTCAGACTGACAGAAATATTGAAATGTTGATGAAGCAAACATACTGCTCAAGGTTGATGTTCATAAAAGAGACAACTCAGGAAACTTAATTTAACAGTTAAAGATTACTATACTTTGACACTAAAGGTTAAATTTAACACAAGCTTTATCAATTTGAAAGCCAAAAATAGAATTCTGATTATGGAGTTACACATCCAAATTTCAACAAAAATGTCGTTAATAAGAAGCAAATGAACGCAAACCAAAATGGGTATTAAGACACTTAGCAGATCCCAAAAAGCAGTTGTTCTTCAAATGATTAGATCTACAACAACCGGACAGAGAACAGATCAAAACTTCACAAAACAGGGCTCAAGCTCACAGCCATATTTCCCTAGAGAGAATTCAGACTTCCTCGATGTTTTGCGTTTCCCAGTGTCACTGAATCCGACTCGGACACACTTGACTCACTTGGACCTGGTGGGGTGCACATGCTGCAGGAAAAACCTTGAGAACCGGTTGAGTCTCACTGATTCCCAAACTTTTTTTATATTTTGTTTGACAATTGGGCTACTATGAGTCGGACTCGGCCGAATAAGAGCCTTAAAACACTGGCAATCTGTCAAGTTGCTCCTCAATGGTTTACTTCTAAAGTATCAAAAAACCATCCCCTCATTCGAGTTGCTGAGGACATAAATTTGCATCTGATAAATCAGTTACACGTAGATCTGTAAATACTTGCTCAAACCTTTTAAGACATCCACCCATATGGAAAAAGATCATCAGTACAAACCAAATTCGAACTGGTAAAGACATACGCATCCATCAGGGAGTAAAGGCATAAAAACTTTTGAAAGGTATCACCAAGATATTTCACAGATATATCCATCCTTAGCGGTGGAGCACAACTCATAAGAAATAAGAAAAATCAAGCTTCTAAGCCTCTAGGCTTGACACGAGAAGAAAATTACTTAAATCCATCTCTTGAACCTCAAGAAAATAACCAAGTGTGAAAAGGGTTACCAATAGACATATAGAACAACCAACAATTTTTATACTGTAAAAGTTAAGAGGTCTCTGAACAAACAAAGCAGAAAAACAATCCATTACAAAAATTATGCTCCCCATGATAGTACAGAAACAGCAATGCATGCAGAGATCCATAAGTTTCCTTCAACACATTATCAAATAAAGGCAAAAAGAGAAACAAAAACAACAAATTCTTCACTCCTGAACTATGCAACTAGATTTAGCAAATAACATAGTACTTTAAAAAATGCAAAACGGAAGCTTGAAAAGAGATTCTAAAGTGAAAAAAGAAGCTACCGCTCTCTCTGGTGCACCAGGAACATTCTCAAGAATCTTGATTCGTGCTCTTGTCTCCTCGCACATGCGTTTAATAAACTCCCCTTTCCTACCAATGATACCTCCAACCTTTTGAGCAGGAACCAACAATCGAAAAACACTCTCTCCTGGCCATCCAGGCCACCTTTTGTCACCACCTCCTGGTCCTCCTCCTCCAGCTCCAGCCTCATCATCGCGTCCCCTTTTCTTGGTAGTATTGGTATTTGTGTTGGTGTTTGTGTTTGTGTTATCGTTTGTGTCAGTGTTTCCAGGTGGTACAATCGTCTCTTCTTCAGGGAAAGTTTCAGCTGATGTTGCCATATTGTGGTTTACCAACTGGGAGAAAAAAAAATTAACAATATGCCAAGAAGTCAAAGTATAAAATATCTACACCACAGCGCACAAATTGACGGTCATCCTAACCGCAGAAGATATACAAAGATAAGAGGATGTCCTATTCACGTAGGCTGAGGAAAAGAGAACAAGCAACAATATACTATGATACCATCTCAATATAAAGCAATAACTCATGCAAATAGATTTTTGTTTTGTGGCTGAAATATGTTACTATCGGGGAAAAAAATGGCACAACCATTTTTTTTTTAAGGGAGCACCAGTCAAAAGAGCCCTCAGGTTAGAGGGCAATACTCCATTAGATGACATACAGGGATTAAACAAATAATCAAGGAAAAAAAAATGAAAACCAACTTGTTTCTGAACACAAACCATGTTTTCCCATCATACTTAGGAAGCATAAAAATTCTAATGTCTAGGAACTTTACCATACAATGAATTTTAAAATAACCCACAGTTTTGTAGGAATTAGCCCCACCCACAGTTAACTTAGGAAATCTGATAAACTCCAAAAAGTAAATAAAGTCCATTGGACAACATAATACAGGAGACGTATGCCCCTCTAGGACTGAATATTATATACGAAGTGTAAGAAAAATGGTGAGAATCTCCCCAATAAAATATATCAAAGCATATCAATCAAATCAAAATCAAGAATAATATGCATCAAATCCAAAATGTTCTTCAACAGGAGCCCTAGATTTATTTCAAAATCAAGCAGGACCTCACTCTGTTCGAACAGTTCAGTCATGGATAATTATAAGTATCCTAACAGAATAACATAGTCTGAAATTGGGGGAAAAAAAACTTGAATCTTATAAACGCACTACTTTTTTAATAGAACTTCGTATATTCTAAGAAAATCATCAAATAAAATAACAGAAGCTGAATTACACAAATTCCATATCCACAGAGCATGATAAAACAAATGAAAAGGAAAACATCGGGAAACTACAAAGCCGCTACTCGCCTACTCCAAAGTTCTACCACATCAAAAATACATCTTTTGGTTTCCAAGTTTAAGAAACCCTAGATATGAAACTCCAACCCATACAGTGCGAGGAACAAAGTGAACCCCTTCCAATAAGAACGATAGGACAAAAACAAAACCAATCCCTAAACAACAGTCCTAATAACAATCTGTAGAAATAAGAGAGACTTATGAGAGGGAGCTCAGGAATTGCAGAGAAGAGATTGAACTTACATTATAGCCTCCGAAGAGCGCAGAGATTTGAAGGAATGAAGCGGAGAGAGAGAGAGAGAGCCCCGATCCCCCGCCTAAAAAACTTTTTAAGGGTTTGTAAGAGAGGGGGGAATGCTAAATTGAAGGACAGAGTCGCGCTTGGGTTTTTAGGTTGGGCGCGCCAGAGCGGATGACACCAGCACGGAAGTAAGGCGTGGGATGATGAAGAGAGAGAAAGAGCAAGCGTGCTCCTCTTAGAGAGAGAGAGAGCGCGAGATGATATGGGAGTACCAAAGGGACGTCACCGCTTATTTTGTGGACCTCAGACTATAAGACCAGTTGCATGCAAGAAGGTCACGGCCATTTCTAGCCACACAATGTGTAATCAGGTGGCTAGAGGAGTGTTTATGAATAAATTTTTGTTAGATTTTCAATGTGCTATTTCTATGTCCAGATTTCGCATCTAATAGCTCAATAAGATTGCAGTCTCTCACTATAAACAAACAGTTTAATTGTATACAATTTTCTTTCTTTATGACAATAATTTGACTGGGCAGGTTGCTGGGTTGCAGCTCCCTCCTGACGCATCAAACGTTCATTTCTAAGATAGATTTAAATAAATGGTGCCTCCACTAAATGGTAAATTGGATGGAATACAAATATTTTCGAAAATACTATTTTTAGGTAAAAAATCCAAATGGATGATCGTCATTGTTGAAATTAATCCAAAATCCGTATCCAAAATGGCTTTTTTATTCATCTCTAAGATGATTTTAGAGGGGGTAAAAATCAAAACTGGACCTTTTATTGTACATGGCAAATCACCTCTCCTTCTTTACTTTAGGATTTTATGAGGTTGCTCTCTTATATTCACTTAATCTACTCTCTCTCTCGGGATTTAGTTTTTATTAGTACTCTTCAAACTTGTCCATGACAATTTATTATTTATACAGACAAATACTTAATGGAGCGCGGTTTGTATAGAGCCGAGGCTCTAAACAATCAAAGTGGAGTGCCCTTTTAAATAGTTTAGTGGCTTCAATACTGAAAGTCTATGTGATAGCCTTAAAATATGTTTTTATATCTAATTATAAAATTTAAAGCTTCAAAAATAGTGTGGATCTAGTAGACATATGAAAACTCGAAAATATTGAAAATTGACGGTCAAAAAATGCATCACAAGACGCACTATTTCCAAAACTTAAAATCTTTGTTTTTATTTTTTTATGCCCATGCATCTTGATGACGAGATGATCAATTTGATGATTTTTGGGCATCAAAACAACCTCTTCTAGTGAAATTCTTGAGGTGGGCTCTAATTTGATTGTTTAAAGTCTCGACTCTAGATAAATTCTTTGCATACGTAATTAGTTCATTCCCAATAAAATAATTTTCCAAAACAATTTTCCAGGAGAGACAGCTCACTTATCAGGGACCGAGGTAATTAGCCATTCGAGAAGGTGTGGGAGACACTATTGTAATTTATTTCAAGAATATACTTCTTCTGCCTTGCCTCTTATTTCAATGATTCTTTGTCCTAGGTAATTTTTATAGACCTTCAAAATTCTAAGCAATAATGGAATAATCAGTGTTTTAAATCCCGGTGATTTCCAATTCGGATCGATGATCTGGGTAGGAGTCAGCCAAGATCAAACCGGCTCCAAGATGGTATGGGTCCTAGTGTGGTTCTGCTATAGAACTCCTATTACATGTATTTGTTTTCCTTTTTTATACACTTATCTAATTTTCTATTATGTCTCATAAATCCTTATTTTATTTTATATATTTATAATATTTTTATAGTTCACATATTCGAACCAATCCAAACTCAATCTAAATGATCCAACGATCCGACATAGTTATATGGGTGAACAGTCTGATTCACATATACATGTTTAAAACACTGAGAATAATAGAATATGTGCTCTCAGTTTTTTTCTTTACTTTATGCTGGCCCGGTTGGCTCAATCTGGTTTAAATGAGAGACAAAATACGAGGCAATTGTTGGAAAGCAGCACATGTGAATCAAAGAGAAATATCAGGCCTCCAAAAAAAAAATGAATTTACAAGAAATTAAAACCAATCATAACATAAAGTTTTACGTGGAAAAACCTTCAAATAAAGACAAAACATAGAGCACACAAGTGATACCCGTTGTGCCATAAAATAATTATTACGGGTCTTCCCGACCCAATTAAATGTAACTGCGGGAAAAACTTACCCAAAAAAGAAAAATTTGAAGAAAATGGAACTAAAAAAGAGAAAAATACATATTACCTTGGTGCAATCAATTTCCTCGTCTTCTTCCACTTTTCAACCGACCAGTCCAGCATTTGAAAACCTCAGATCGATAAGCTAGATCGTTCACCCAAAAATTCATATTGAATCGTTGGATTGGCTATGATTTGGATCAATCCAAATTGGTAATATAAAAGAAAAATAGTAAAAAAAAATAATATTAAAATTAAAATGGGGGTTTATGAAGTGGGGATTTAAAAAACAGCTAGTAAAACATTAGATAAACAAAAAGAAAACTATATATAAATATATATAGAGGGGGATTTTAAAGGGAAATCGGGCCGGGACCCATACCGCCCCAAAACCAGTTCGGTTATGACAGATTCTCATTCGAATCAGTATATCTAAATCGAAAATAGCTGGATTTTAAAACACTGCTTCTCTCCAAATCTAATTGGAGAATACAATCTTCAACAGAGAAGTACCAAGGCCTTTCGAGAGTTGTGGAAGTGCAGTTGCAGAAGAGAAACCCTTTACATCTTAAAAACCCCTAGACGAAGAAACAAAGCTCTTCAACCTCTCTTTAAATTTTTTTGTTCACCCCCTTTAATAAAATAAATAAATTTAACCTTATAATAAAAACCCCAATTCAAAAGTTTTTCTAATCTTAATTTTATTTTCCAATAAATAGCCCACTGCAAATGGAGCTAGAAATATTGTCGCATCTCTGTCTCTTTCTCACTCTCTCTACCTCGATTATTTTGCCTGGTTTATAGCTACATGGAAGCCAAAATCTACCCCGTTCGTTTATAAAGTACACTGAAAATGAACAGTTAGTGAAAGATAAGTGTATATATCAAAGGTATCACCATGTTCTGTAGAAACGGATACATGCGTCTCTTTATGATACAAGTGCATGTGTCAAAAACATTCAATTTAAAAAAATATCATCTAGATATCACATCTCCATACAATATATATATATTTATATATATATATATATGAAAGAGTTTATATAGAGCCGAGGCTCTAAACCATCAAATTAGAGCCTACCTAACAAATTTAATTAAAAGAGGTTGTTTTTATTCCCAATTATCCTCAAATTGATCATATGCACCTCAAGATGCATGGACATGAAAAGAAAATGGACTTCAAATTTTGTGAAATAGTATATTTTGTAATGCATTTTTTGACCGTCAATTTTTAAGATTTTCAAGTTTTTATTGATCTGTCGATCTACATTATTTTATAAAGATGAAAATATATTTTAAGACTATCACAAAGATTTCCAATATTAAAACTACATTTCTCGACACCATTGGAGGGTAGGCTCTAATTTGATTGTCTAGAGCCTAGGCTCTATACAAACCGCAC